GCTCGAGCTAGCATGAGAGGTGCTGGGCTCGGCTTCAACGAATGACGGCATAGGATGGGGACCCATCGGCGGTGGCAGGAGGTCGTGATTGCTGCGTAGAGCTGGAAGGCAGTCATGCTCCCGACAATACTCGTCGAATCTCTTGCTAGACCCAGAAAACACGAGCTTGTTAGTGAGGCGATCGCTGCCCACCCACTTCGTATACACACGGTTGGAGCTGCCGACTCGTGTAAGCATCGTATATAGAAGTCCGTGAAACCACGGCGCCCGTAGTCTCTTCTCGATATCCAGATGAGCTTTCAGAGCATTTTTTTCAGCGTGATCTCTCGAAAGATCGATGACAATGAATCTGAGAGTCGATCCCAAGACCTTATGACAGGTAATGGCAGCTCCCAGTTCTACAGGAAGGTTACATCTCCTGTAGAGGAGCGAACCGTCGTCCTTGGCCACGATTTGTGTGATTGGGAACACCACAATATCCTGGCCGGTGCGATCCAGCCTCACACGAATGCATGCCATAGAAGTCTCAGAGTCAGCGTACTCATCGGTGTACTGAACCGAGTTCGTCTCGCTCTCGATGTTCATGAACTCGCTGATGATGCCGAGATCCCCATTGCAGAATTTGCCCCTGCAGTTCGTAGTGAACATGATCCGACAGCCGGGCTTGAGATTTATCACAAGAGGTACGGCTAAAATACCTATATCGTGATCTTCTCCCACCCGATTGTCAGTTACACCGGCTTTGAAGGTCACAACATCGCCTGGGAGTTCGCGAAGGTGCCGCTCGTTTATCCGATCTGCGGTAGCACGGTAAATTGTAACGGCAGTCCACTCTGGCTCATGCTCGCCCTCAACGTCACGAATGGCAGCAGCCACTCCACTCGCCGACTCCGAGAGAGGACTTCCTGTATTAGCGCCTCTGATCTCGGCCAGGAATTCCATATATGGGATATCAGGGCCAGGACTCGTGTAAGGCAGCGGTCGGCGGCCACGGCGTCCAGGTCTGCATAGTGCAGAACTGCTGGATCCGCGATTGAATGACCTCAAGAAGTAAGTTTTCAATGGCATAACGTTCCAAAGCTCACATTCCCATATAGGAGCGACCTCTATGTCACTATACGCACCGTACCTTTCGGGAGTAGCACCCTGGAGCTGTAGAGGATCTCCAATAAAGATCATATGTACGTTGCCAAACAGTCCATGCTCTTGGCGTAGCTCACGCAGGGCTTGATCCGTCGCTAGGAGCATAGAATCGAACACAGTGACAACCTCATCAATAATAAGCACGGTAGGCCTCTGTAACTCTCCAGCCTTCCCGAGGGTTCTGATGCCGTCGACCATCCTTGAAGCCAGCGTCTCCGGACAACGGAAGTAAGAGGTATCGTTAGCCTTGCAGTGGGAATGATCGAATTTCAGGCCCCAGAATGACATGAACGTAACGCCCCCCGCAGCCGTGGCGGCCAGTGCTGTTGATGATACTA